CCGGCCATTTATCCCCCCGGTTTGACGGAGCCAAGCGGGGGTGCAGGTGTCAACCCGCCGTCCTTGGTTCTCTCGGTAAAGCCACCGCCGCGTAGAATGACGCTAAAATAATACGTTGATTAGGTGAAATGACGCAATGGAAGTTCTCACGACGTTTCGGCCCACAACACAAGCGGCCTTCATCAGGTAGGTGAAGGGACGGGGACTGTCTAGGAGGACGGCCCCGTCGCGAGAATTTTATTGCTTTGTTTTATTTGATCAATTTTATTATTTAATTCTCATTCTACGCGGCGGTGTGTGAGTCTCTGTGAGTCTCTGTGTGTGAGTCTCTATGTGTCTCTGTGTGAGTCTCTGTGAGTCTCTATGAGTCTCTGTGTGAGTCTCTGTGTGTCTCTGTGTGAGTCTCTATGTGTCTCTGTGTGAGTCTCTGTGTGAGTCTGTGTGTGAGTCTCTATGTGAGTCTCTATGTCAGTCTCTATGTGAGTCTCTGTGAGTCTCTGTGTGAGTCTCTATGTGAGTCTCTGTGAGTCTCTGTGTGAGTCTCTGTGTGAGTCTCTGTGAGTCTCTGTGCGAGTCTCTGTGTGAGTCTCTATGAGTCTGTGTGTGAGTCTCTATGAGTCTGTGTGTGAGTCTCTGTGTGAGTCTCTGTGTGAGTCTCTATGTGCCTGTGTGTGAGTCTCTCTGTGAGTCTCTATGAGTCTCTATGTGAGTCTCTATGAGTCTCTGTGAGTCTGTGTGTGAGACTCTCTGTGAGTCTCTATGAGTCTGTGTGTGAGTCTCTATGAGTCTCTATGAGTCTGTGTGTGAGTCTCTCTGTGAGTCTCTATGAGTCTCTATGTGAGTCTCTATGAGTCTCTGTGAGTCTGTGTGTGAGTCTCTGTGAGTCTCTGTGAGTCTGTGTGTGAGTCTCTGTGTGAGTCTCTGTGTGAGTCTCTATGAGTCTCTGTGTGAGTCTCTGTGTGAGTCTCTATGAGTCTCTATGTGAGTCTCTATGAGTCTCTATGAGTCCGTGTGTGAGTCTCTATGTGAGTCTCTGTGTGAGTCCGTGTGTGAGTCTCTGTGTGAGTCTCTATGAGTCTCTATGAGTCTCTGTGTGAGTCTCTGTGTGAGTCTCTATGAGTCTCTATGAGTCCGTGTGTGAGTCTCTATGTGAGTCTCTATGAGTCTCTATGAGTCTCTGTGTGAGTCTCTATGAGTCTCTATGTGAGTCTCTATGAGTCTCTATGTGAGTCTCTATGAGTCTCTATGAGTCCGTGTGTGAGTCTCTGTGTGAGTCTCTATGTGAGTCTCTATGAGTCCGTGTGTGAGTCTCTGTGTGAGTCTCTGTGTGAGTCTCTATGAGTCCGTGTGTGAGTCTCTATGAGTCTCTATGTGAGTCTCTATGTGAGTCTCTATGTGAGTCTCTGTGCGAGTCTCTGTGTGAGTCTCTATGTGAGTCTCTATGAGTCTCTATGAGTCCGTGTGTGAGTCTCTGTGTGAGTCTCTATGTGAGTCTCTATGAGTCCGTGTGTGAGTCTCTATGTGAGTCTCTATGAGTCTCTATGAGTCCGTGTGTGAGTCTCTATGAGTCTCTATGTGAGTCTCTATGTGAGTCTCTATGTGAGTCTCTGTGCGAGTCTCTGTGTGAGTCTCTGTGTGAGTCTCTATGAGTCTCTATGAGTCTCTATGAGTCCGTGTGTGAGTCTCTGTGTGAGTCTCTATGTGAGTCTCTATGAGTCCGTGTGTGAGTCTCTGTGTGAGTCTCTATGAGTCTCTATGAGTCCGTGTGTGAGTCTCTATGTGAGTCTCTATGAGTCTCTGTGTGAGTCTCTGTGTGAGTCTCTATGAGTCTCTATGAGTCCGTGTGTGAGTCTCTATGAGTCTCTATGTGAGTCTCTATGAGTCTCTATGAGTCCGTGTGTGAGTCTCTATGTGAGTCTCTATGTGAATCTCTATGTGAGTCTCTATGTGAGTCTCTGAGTGAGTCTCTGTGCGAGTCTTCAAATCGACACTAAACCTGCCCCACGACGGTCCAGGGTCCACTTTGTCCCGGGCCTCGCCTGCTCACCCTCCTTGCCGGGCGTCACCCTCTCGGGCCCACGTCCTCCCTCCCCTCCAGCCGCTCCGACGCTCCCACCTCGAGGGCGCGGGAAGTCGCAAAATGGCGAGGCTCCACGTGGTGAGGGTGGGGGTTGAGGGTGCGGTGGCTGGACCCGGCTGCTCCGCGAACCGTCTCCACGGACGCTCGAGTGGCCGTGGGACGACCGGGGAACCCTCGCTCCACAAAGAGCCCCCCCCCCCCCCCCCAAAGAGAGAGAGAGAGCGGGGGGGCCAAAGAGAGAGAGCGGCTTTCGCGTCTCAAACGAAGCCGCTCGATACGCTGGCCTCCCGTCCAATCAGGAGCCTCGGATTGCCCGCTCCCCGACGGTCGGATCGGCCCCCCACCACCGGCCCCCCGGCCCCCCACCCCCCCCCCCCACTCTCCGTTGTTTCACCGAGGGCACGGCATGCCGGACCCCCCGCACGACGCCCAAGCGGCCTGCCGACCCGCCTGCGCCCTGCGAGTTTCCTCACCGCGGCTCCGAGTGAGTCCGCCGTGGCCGTACAAACTTAGCGTCAATCCACGGCGCCGTGGTGCCGCTCGGCCTGCGGTGGTGGGTGGGTGGGTGGGAGAGGGGGGGGGGGGTCTATGGGGAGCGATAGTGTAGCGGTTAGCGGTTAGCGCTACGCTATGAACCTGGCGACCCGGGTTCGATTCCCGCTCACGGCCAACACCAGTGACGATTATCTGAACCGGTCCCGGGCCTCCCCCTAGGTCGACTCAGCCTCAAATGAGTACCTGGTGTAGCGGTGTGTAAACATCGCCACTAGGGAGACAAAGGCGGTCGGGCGTGGTGCTGGCCACCCACCCCCCTTGTGTACCGTTCCGGCCTTCATAGGTGCTGCTCGCTAACAGCACTTGCCCCTACAGTCTGTTACAGGCTATACGGGGGATCTTTGTCTTTGTCTTTGATGGGGGGGGGGGGGGTCTGCCAATTCCCTGGCAGTGTGAAACCGTAGGAGCACCGCCCCCCCCACCCAGCCGGGCGGCTTCTCTGCCGCCGCCGCCGCCGCCGCCGCCCCAGGGAACGGCTTCGCTGTCGTGGCTGCCACAGGGGCCCCCTCTTGGAAAGGTCCTGGCGAGGATTGTTCAGCATCGCCTCGCCAGGCACGCCGGGGAGAGAGGCTTGCGGAGCCCCAGTGCGGTTTCAGGAAAAAAGGGCGGTCGTGCACGGATGCCGTATTTTCCGTCCGTCTGCTACAGCAGAGGTGCGGGGGAAATTCCAGGCAAGAACTACGTCTCTGCTTTATTGACCCGGTCAAGGCCTGTGATGCCATCAGTAGGCCCTGGGCTCTGGGTTGTTGTTCTTCGTGCTTTCGGAGTCCCTGACCCCCTGCTCACGATCATTAAGGACCTTCATGATGGCGAGCGGGCCCGGGTAAAACTACGTGGCCGGGAGTCGGAGCCATTCCCTGTACACCTTGGGGTGCGACAGGGATGTCCTCTGGCTCCCACATTATTTAACATCTATTTTGACCACGTAGTTCGTGAAGCCTTCAATAGCTGTACCGAGGGAATCTCCATATGGCACAGATATAATGGAAGGCTGATCGATGCCCGGGTGCGGTCAAGGGATGGCTCCCTATTGCTCAACCACGTTATGTATGCCGATGAATTGGTAATAGCTGCTCAGTCAGAGGAGGAGTTGGAGACGCTGCTGCTGAGACTGGAGCGTGCCACTAAGAGATGGGGCCTTTCCATCAGCCCCACCAAAACTAAGCACCTGCCTGGGTATTTGTACCATCGGACACTCCACCCCCACAACTCCCAATCGGTGATGGGGCAGTTGTGGAGATAGTGGAGAGTTTCCCATACCTGGGCAGTGTGCTTATGACCGGCTCCAGTTTAACAGCAGAGGTCTCACTCCGAATCAGTCAAGCGGCAATATCTTTTCATCGGTTGCGTAACGCTGTGTGGAAGCTACCTGGTCTGTCGCTCCGCACTAAGCTTCAGGTCTTCTCGGCCACGGTCATTCCCTCCCTTCTCTGCGCTTGCGAAACGTGGACCCCCCTAATGGAACATCTTCGCCGGTTAGAAACATTTAGGCTGGCATGCCTACGATCCATCCTGGGTTTAACCAGGCTGGATTGTGTGAGGAGCTCACAAATCATTGAAAGATCTGGGCAAGGTCCCATCGGTGAGCTCCTCCGGCAGGCAAGGCTGCGATGGCTGGGTCATGTAGCCCGCATGCCCAGCCACCGCATGCCCAAACAGCTTTTGTTTGGCCAGATCGAGGGGGCTAAGCGTGCGCGGCACGGGCTAGAGAAGAGATGGAGTGATGTGGTACAGGAGGACGTGGAGCTGAGTGGACTTGCCCATGACTGGTACCAGCGGTGTCAAGATCGGCCTCTGTGGAGGAGGCTCGTGAAGGACGCTACTGGGCAGTTGGAGGCAGTCGCCCTCCAACAACAACGGAGGGCGGAGGAGCGACGCTCACAACAACGAGCGGAGCGCCGGGTGGCTAAAGCACAGCAAGTTGGCACAGTAGGGGGCACAGGTGGTGCATCAGCCAGTCATCTCAGTCAGTCGACCCGTGGCACCTGCTGGATCTGCCCCGTGACCTCCGGCCAGCGGGCGTTCGACACTTCACGTGGCCTCAGGGTGCACATAGCCTGGCACAAGCGTCGTTGTGACGTCACTGCTACTTAGTGGCGAATGGCGGTTGTTGTTGCTGCTGCTACTAGCAGCACTTGCCCCTGCAGCCCTGCTAGAGGCTACCTGGGGTAGCTTTGTGTGTTCATCATAGGTGGTGCTCCTCGCTACTAGCAGCACTTGCCCCTACAGCCCTGCTAGAGGCTACCTGGGGGACCTTTGTCTGTGTGTGTACATCATAGGTGGTGCTACTCGCTACTAGCAGCACTTGCCCCTGCAGCCCTGCTAGAGGCTACCTGGGGGACCTTTGCCTGTACCTGTGTGCCAGGTGTCACCTGCGGACGGCCGCGTGCTGCACCTGGGCCGCGTGGGGCCTGACGGCCTCCTGGAGCAGGTGAAGGGGGTCACCTACAGCCTGGACGCCTTCCTGGGCCCGCGTGGATCACTGGACAGCGGGCAGCCCACACGTACAGACACACACACAGACACTCACACACAGACACTCACACACAGACACACACACACACAGACACACACACACAGACACTCACACACAGACACACACAGACACAGACACACACAGACACACAGACACAGACACACGTACAGACTCACACCAGACACTCACACACAGACACACACACTCACACACACACACAGACACACACACACAGACACACACACACAGACACTCACACACACAGACACACACACACAGACACACACACACAGACACACACACACTCACACACTCACACACTAACTCACACTCAGACACTCACACACAGACACTCACACTCACACACACAGACACACACACACAGACACACACACACACAGACACACACACACACAGACACACACACACAGACACACAACAACAACAACCGCCATTCGCCACTAAGTGGCGGTGACGTCACCACGACGCTTGTGCCAGGCTATGTGCACCCTGAGGCCACGTGAAGTGTCGAACGCCCGCTGGCAGGAGGTCACGGGGCAGATCCAGGTGCCACGGGTCGACTGACTGAGATGACTGGCTGATGCACCACCTGTGCCCCCTACTGTGCCAACCTGCTGTGCTTTAGCCACCCGGCGCTCCGCTCGCTGTTGTGAGCGTCGCTCCTCCGCCCTCCGTTGTTGTTGGAGGGCGACTGCCTCCAACTGCCCAGTAGCATCCTTCACGAGCCTCCTCCACAGAGGCCGATCTTGACACCGCTGGTACCGGTCATCGGCAAGTCCACTCAGCTCCACGTCCTCCTGTACCACATCACTCCATCTCTTCTCTAGCCCGTGCCGCGCCCGCTTAGCCCCCTCAATCCGGCCAAACAAAAGCTGTTTCGGCATGCGGTGGCTGGGCATGCGGGCTACATGACCCAGCCATCACAGCCTTGCCTGCCAGAGGAGCTCACCGATGGGACCCTGCCCAGATCTTTCAAGGATTTGTGAGCTCCTCACACAATCCAGTCTGGTTAAACCCAGGATGGATCGTAGGCAGGCCAGCCTAAATGTTTCTAACCGGCGAAGATGTTCCATTAGGGGGGTCCACGTTTCGCAAGCGTAGAGAAGGGAGGGAATGACCGTGGCCGAGAAGACCTGAAGCTTAGTGCGGAGCGACAGACCAGGTAGCTTCCACACAGCGTTACGCAACCGATTAAAAGATATTGCCGCTCGACTGATTCGGAGTGAGACCTCTGCTGTTAAACTGGAGCCAGTCATAAGCACACTGCCCAGGTATGGGAAACTCTCCACTCTCTCCACAACTGCCCCATCACCGATTGGGAGTTGTGGGGGTGGAGTGTCCGATGGTACAAAATACCCAGGCAGGTGCTTAGTTTTGGTGGGGCTGATGGTAAGGCCCCACCTCTTAGTGGCACGCTCCAGTCTCAGCAGCAGCGTCTCCAACTCCTCCTCTGACTGAGCAGCTATTACCAAATCATCAGCATACATAACGTGGTTGAGCAATAGGGAGCCATCCCTTGACCGCACCCGGGCATCGATTAGCCTCCCATTATATCTGTACCATATGGAGATTCCCCCGGTACAGCTATTGAAGGCTTCACGAACTACGTGGTCAAAATAGATGTTAAATAATGTGGGAGCCAGAGGACATCCCTGTCGCACCCCAAGATGTACAGGGAATGGCTCTGACTCCCGGCCACGTAGTTTTACCCGGGCCCGCTCACCATCATGAAGGTCCTTAATGATCGTGAGCAGAGGGTCAGGTACTCCAAAAGCACGAAGAACGACCCAGAGCCCAGGCCTACTGATGGTATCATAGGCCTTGACCAGGTCAATAAAGCAGAGATGTAGGTCTTGTTGGAATTCCCTACACCTCTGCTGTAGCAGACGGACAGAAAATATGGCATCTGTGCAGGACCGCCCTTTCCTGAAACCGCATTGGGGCTCCGCAAGCCTCTCCTCAGCGTGCCTGGCAAGGCGATGCTGAATAATCCTTGCCAGGACCTTTCCCGGCACACTGAGGAGTGAGATGCCCCTGTAGTTGTTACAGTCTGTGCGGTCCCCCTTCTTAAAAAGGGGGACCACCAGGGCATCCTTCCAATCCTGCGGAACCCATCCAGTCGTCCAGACTGTTGTTATGATGTCATATAGGGCAGTCTGTGCACAAACGCCACCCTCCCTCAGCATTTCGCTTGGGAGATCATCTCTGCCCGCTGCCTTTCCTGGTCTCAGACTCCGGATCGCCTTCAATACTTCCTCAGCAGATGGCACCTCAGCCAGCCACTCACAGGGGGTGACTTCATCCAATATTTGAGGCACCGCAGCCTCAGCAGTGTCATCCTCACTTTGTGCCACGATGTTTTCCTGGCTGAGGGATTTTACCTCCCCCAGGACCTCACAGAAATGCTCAGCAAATCTGCGAACCTGTTCCTGGGGGTCGGAAATTGGATCACCGTTTTTTCCCCTAATGATGGTAATAGGTGTGGCGCTGCAGGTTACTTTTTGATGGAGTTAAATAGAGATTTGTGATCACGGGCCACTGAGGCAGACTCCATCTCTTCAGCAACCCGCGACCACCACCCATCCTTGCAGCGCCTCACGGCTCTCCGAACCTCCGAGCGAAGGCTGCGGTAAGCCTCCTCATTCTCTGACGTGGGATTCTGTAGCCGATGACAGTGGGCCTGTCGCTTTTTCTCAACCATCCTGAACAACTCCTCTGTCATCCATGGTGTCTGGGGAGGTCGGGACCGCGTACCCAGAGCAGCCATTGCAGCTGCATGAGTCACAGTCCTAAACCTCGCCCATTTACCCTCGACATCAGGAGGAGTCGGGGACGATGCCAATCCCAGCCGCAAGCGATGATGAAATTCTCGCTTGCAACTTTCATCAGATAACTGAGACCAGGCCACTTTAGGTGGGAATGGGGTCCTGGGTGTACACCCACGACCGGAGTGGAAGAATGGCAGGCGCATCTTACAGATGACTAGTCAGAGGGCAGATCAGCTCCACGGTAGGTCCTGGTGTCAAGGACATGGGCTCGCATTCGCTGGTCCGTCACTATGTAGTCCAGCAGATGTTCTTGCTTGGACCCGGCATGCATCCATGATGTTGTGTGGATGCGCCGATGCCGGAACAGCGTGTTGGTAATTACAAGCCCATGGGCTGCACAAAAATCTAGCAGCCTCCTACCGTTGTTATTGAGCTGATCTGGCCCATGCCCTCCAATCACTCCAGACCAGGTGCCAGTATCATGACCAACTCGGGCATTGAAGTCACCCAACATGATGACTCTATCCCGAGGGGCCACTTTAGCCAGCACCTGTGACAGGAGGTCATAGAAGGCATCTGACTCATCGGCTTTGCCTGCATCCCTCCACGGATGTTCATCTTCGGTGGGGGCATAAGTAACCACGACCACCATTCCTCGCCTCCGGTTGATGGGAAGGCGAGCCCAAAGTAGCCTGGGGCTTACAGCTTCCCACACCTCACCACCACGCTCCCACGCCCCCTTCATTCTTTTGTTCAAAAGAAGACCCACACCCTGTTGTTTGGCAGTCTGCTGCCCCGAGTAGAGGACTGTCCACCCCTCATGGTGGCAGGAGCCAGAGCCGGTCCACCGGACCTCCTGAATGCCGCATAGATCCAGGCGGTACCGGTCCAGCTCCCGACAGAGGAGTAGCAGCCTCTCCTCTGCAGTGAGCGTTCGAACATTCCACGTGGCCACACGAAGTGGCTTTTCGTTGTTTCTGGAGTAGCCCCGAGGGTAGGTATTCAATCTCCTGGCTCCGCCAATTGGGGTTTGGCCAGGAGACGTCATAGACGCCTGGCCCCCCGGGGCCTCCGGCACAAGCTTAGTTGTTACATATTTCAGTTTAATTCGTGGTTTCGTGGTTATTAATTGAAGGTGGAGGGGTTACCAGCCCCTCGCACCCGTCCAGAGCCCCCGTTTAGCCCCTGTGGTGGACACATATGCCATGAGGGGAGGAGCCAATCAAAATTGGATCTCCCCCCACAGCGCTGTCCACGACAGATTTGCCCGTCCGGCACCGCGAGGAGGTAGGGGGTTGTTTTGCCGGACACAGACACACACACAGTCACTCACAGACACTCACACACAGACACACACACACACACAGACACTCACACACAGACACTCACACACAGACACTCACACACACACTCACACACAGACACACACACACACTAACTCACACACACACAGACACACTAACTCACACACACACAGACACACACAGACACACTAACTCACACACACAGACACACAGACACACACACACAGACACTCACACACAGACACTCACACACAGACAGACACACAGACACTCACACACACACTAACGCTCACACACACACAGACACACAGACACACACACGTACAGACACACACACAGACACACACACACAGACACTCACACACTTACTCACACACACACACAGACACACACACAGACACACACATACACTCACTCACACACACAGACACACACATGCAGTCACACTCACTCACACACACTGACACACACACAGACAGACACATACTCACACACACACTCACACACACTCACTCACACACATACACACATTCACACACACACTCACACACACTCACACATTCATAGAGATAAACAGAGACTCACACACAGACTCAGAGACTCTCATAGACATACTCATAGAGACTCACACACGGACTCATAGAGACTCACACAGAGACTCACACAGAGACTGATAGAGACTCACACAGACTCATAGAGACTCACATAGAGATGGACAGAGACTCACAGAGACTCACAGAGACTCACACAGAGACTCATAGAGACTCACACACAGACTCACAGAGACTCACACAGAGATGGACAGAGACTCATAGAGATGGACAGAGACTCACAGAGACTCACACAGAGACTCACACAGAGACTCACAGAGACTCACACAGAGACTCACACAGAGTCTCATAGAGACTCACACAGAGACTCACAGAGACTCACAT